ATGGATGTAACACAAAATTTCCAAGTGAATTGCTCTGTTTTTGTCATATTTCTAGTCTGTAAAACATGTCAAGCGGTTAAAGAAACTCTCCAGTGAAGGATGGTCCCAGTTTTGCTTAAAAATACTGAAGATTTAAGGTGTACTCTCTAGTATAGTTATTTTTCCTTGCAATGTTGTGCCATGATATTAATTTTGGACATTGAGTACCAATTTCCATTCTGAAATTTAACATATTCATTGGGGTAGGGATTTACTAAGGGTTTAGACATTAATAAAACGAAGGACTTTAAGTAATGCGTTTCCCCTTTTGTTATACTGTTAGTGGCCACCACTGTGATGCTTTCTCAGTTCATCCTATTTGGATTTCAAAATTATGACCAAAGAGCTATTAAAGAGAAGTTCCTTTGTGTCTTCTAACTACCATATCAAAGAACCCTAAGAATCTATTAACAAAAGGTTGTTATATTCTGATAAAACAAATCCTGTAATAAAATATTATTTACCAGATGTTTTACTTTCCTCTTTGCATTGTGAATTGATTTGCATATATTTAAGTGGCTCTAATTTAATCAACGGCTAATTTGACCAGATTCCAAATTCTGCAAGATTAATTTTGGTTCCCAAACATAAAATGCATGCTAAACTGTGATATACTTGTATACAGGGTTTATACAGGAATGAGTAGCTATAATTTAATGCTTTTTAATGTTCTTTTAATGTTCAAGTACCCATGTTCTTTAATCTTGTAGTGCTTTCGTTAATGTTGTAGTGCTTTTGTTAATGTTCTAGTGCTTTCGTTAATGTTGTAGTGCTTTTGTAATTTGTAATTGTGCTTCTTTGATATTGTAGTAGTTTGCACCTCAGGGCTAACTACAGGTCATAATGGCACACCAAAGATCAGGAAGTGGAGAGTAGTTGCCTTTTCTATGCAGCCCAGCTTCTTTCAAATGAGTCGTTACTGACCGCATACTAACTGACACATCGTGGTTGGTCCAGTGCATGTCCAGTATCACCTCATATGTATGCTCGGACTCAAAATACTCACGAATAGTACTAGTAAGGTTTGGATCGCCGAGAATATTCATGTTTTTACAAAAACAAATTAAAGCTAGAATAACTTCTGGTTCAAAAGTAAAATGAGCCGCAGGCCAATTAACGAAGTCTTAGGTCTCCCACTGGGACATACGTCTTCCGGTTTGTTAATGTTGTAGTGCTTTCCTTAATGTTGCAGTGTGTCTTTAATGTTGTAGTGCTTTCCTTAATGTTGCAGTGTGTCTTTAATGTTGTAGTGCTTTCCTTAATGTTGCAGTGTGTCTTTAATGTTGTAGTGCTTTCTTTAATGTTGCAGTGCTTTCTTTGATGTTGCAGTGTTTTCTTTAATGGTACAGTGCTTTCTTTAATGTTGCAGGGCTTTCTTTAATGGTACAGTGCTTTCTTTAATGGTACAGTGCTTTCTTTAATGTTGCTGTGCTTTCCTTAATGTTGTACTGCTTTCTTTAATGTTGTAGTGCTTTCTTTAATGGTACAGTGCTTTCTTTAATGTTGCAGGGCTTTCTTTAATGGTACAGTGCTTTCTTTAATGGTACAGTGCTTTCTTTAACGTTGCTGTGCTTTCCTTAATGTTGTACTGCTTTCTTTAATGTTGTAGTGCTTTCGTTATTGTTGTAGTGCTTAGTTAAGTATTTGTGCTTTTGCAATTTGTAATCGTGCTTTGTTAATGTTGTAGTGCTTTCTTTAATATTGTAGCGCTTAGTTAATGTTGCAGTGCTTTCGTTAATGTTGCAGTGCTTTCGTTAATGTTTCAGTGCTTTCGTTAATGTTGTAAAGCTTTCTTTAATATTGTGGCGCTTAGTTAATGTTGCAGTGCTTTCGTTAATGTTGCAAAGCTTTCTTTAATATTGTTTCGCTTAGTTAATGTTGCAGTGCTTTCGTTAATGTTGCAGTGCTTTATTTAATGTTGTAGTGCTTTTGTAATTTGTAATTGTGCTTCTTTGATGTTGTAGTAGTTTGCACCTTAGGGCCACCGTAGATCTCAGATCTGTCTTTACTGTCACCAGCTCAACAATATGACTACATCCAAACCATTTTAAAATGATAAATACAGTTTGCCATTTAATGATTAAAGGGAAAAACAACATTAAATAAATGAGTTTTGAAATCATTTTAAGGGTCTCACCTTTCCAGTTAGGGTTTGTGTCCCCACTATGGTGACAGTATAATTTCCAGTGTTTCCAGTTTTACAGAGATCAAAATTAGGTATCTGTTGGCTGGAGTCTATAGAAGCTCTACCTTTGTAAAGTTCACTCACAGAGAGCCCTGATGGCTTTATAGTAGCAATGTTCATAATTTTTTTCTCATTCTTGAAATGCCAAATTATAGTGCCGTTTTTCTTTTTCTAAACTCAGGATATTCAGACAGGAGATATATCACTATAAAGCAGGCAGTTAATAAACAACAGTTTATAGGGCAAAGAATCAAATGCATAGGCGTTTAACCTCACTAACTAAACAGAGTGGAAAAACAAGTGATTTTAAGATAAACAGATCCATCTGGTAGCTCCTGCCTGTGTGCTCAAAAGCCAACAGACAGGAGGGAGGTTATGCTGTAATATTTATAGAGCAAATACAGGGAATTCAAACACCAAGTGGAACTAGGACAAAAACCAATCAATCAAATGTTTCAACTTGTGTAAGAAGGTTTTCTGCTTTTAAGGATGTCAACTTCAATTAAAGACAGAAAAAAATTAGCTGCCAGTAAAATAAACTGAAATTGACAAAAAGTAATAAAACGATATAATAAAAAAATGTGAAAATAATTACATTGATTTTGAATATATATGTACAAATCTATATACAATATATATAAAAAAATAAAGCAAGGAAAGAAGCCTGTTGGAACTCCTGAATTAAAATGTTGTTGAGCAACAAAATCAGGTGTTCTGTATTGTTCAGGATATGTTCAGTCAGACTTCTGCACCTGTTGTGGTATGTTGGGTTATTGTTGCCTCAATTTGTCTGAGACACATTTAAAAAAAAAATTAAATCAAATTTGTTTCACTACCTTTTTAGTTTTGTGTTATTTCAACTAGTAGTGTGAATTTCTGATTTTCTTTCAACTTTCATCCACAACCTTATATTCCTTGGTGTGACGTATGATAGATAGATAGATAGATAGATAGATAGATAGATAGATAGATAGATAGATAGATAGATAGATAGATAGATAGATAGATAGATAGATAGAT